TATATACCTTTATCTATATCTATATTAATATATATATACGTGCGAAAACATGCGAATAAATATATATATATGTGCATATGTATATGTATATATATCCTATATATGTAAATATATGTAAATATATATGTATATGATTATACATATATATATATATATATATATATATATATTCATGCATATAGATATACATATCTATATAGATATATAGATATATTATACTATGTATGTCAATAGAAATATATCTATATTCTCAAAAATACATATAAATCTATATATATATATATATATGTGTGTGTGTACATATGTATGTGTGTATGTATATATATATGGATTTATGTCTGAATATATATATGTGTGTGTGTACGTACGGATGTATGTATATATACATATAAACACATATATATATATATATATATATGTAAACACAAATATATATATATATACACAATGTATATGTTTTGTATATATATATATGTATGTATGTATGTATACAGACATATATATATATATATAATTTATATATATATATATATATAAATTTATATATGTATATCTATTATATATAGTTATATATATATATGCATGTATTTTTGTATGTGTGTATGTATATGTATATATATATATATAGATATATATTTATATGTGTGTGTATGTCTGTGTGTATATGTATGTATATATACATACAGATATATTTTATGCATATATATATAAGTATTAAGTATATATATATATATATATTGATATATAGATAAATAATATATATATGTAATATATATATATATATATATTGATATATAACAAATCTTAATGATTTTATCATTATATGTGAATATAGAATCAAATTTCCATATACGGATGTATGTATTTAAAATCTTGTATAACTCACCAAGCTGTGAATTGTTCGTTCATATTTGTAAGTAGTGTACAGAATCATGTTTTTGAAGTGACGATACTCATTCACTATCGCAATGCCGTTGGTAGCTTAAATAATTGATGATTCGCTTGAAATGTTGTGCATTGGTGACCTATTCAAATGGCTCTCTCATCTTGTATGCACATTAGATTGCTTTACTAATTTTCACATAATACAGCGAAGTCATTTTAACTATTTGCTATGTTGCAGTCGAGATTACTGAACTCTCGCTCGTCGCAACTTCTGGGGCTTTCATTTGCGAGTTCGTCAGCTCGGGAAAAAGATGACCATACTCTGACTTCACCTCATCCTCCATTTCGAGCAGGCGCGCCCCAACTCTATCTACAACTTCCTTGTAGAACCAGCGATCCGCATCAGTCAGCTAAGGTGAGGAACGCGATGCAACGAAAGAAAGCTTATGAATAAAGGCTTGGCATTGTTGTTCTGTCCGAAGTGTTTGGTATGGTTATAAAAAGAGGGCTTGGTCGCTATCACTGGTAATTCGAAGAAAAAATTTACACCGTGGTGTTGACTCACCAACCACTAGGGTCTAAATAACTAGTAATGCTCATGAATGTCGACATTCCTATTTAACGAATTTTAACTATAGATTTGCACACCAGAAAATATACGAACATACTTACCTCCTGCATATTTCCCCCCTCTTCCGCCTTCTGTTTTCTATATTTCGCTAGTATGTCGTCAATTGGTATAGGATCTCCAATTTTAACAACAAACTTCAAACCAGTCGCCGGCATGTAGCTATGTAGTAATCGCAGAGAAAAATACAAATATTTCATGGGTGTCAATTGCTGTTCATGTACAAAATTTGAGGTAAACTAGCGTATGGACAGGCTAAGAACTAGCTCCACCCCTGGGTTGTACGCAATCGGTGCAATAAAACTCAGCCATGGACAGTCATATGATCACAGTAGTTTCCTGGAGATAACAACAGAATGAAACACTGTGGATGCCAATACCTCTCTATTTGGTTGGTTACTTTGTTGAGCTTGATGGTGTTCTGGATACCGTATTGATACACGGGGACAACCAGCGGCGGCGGTGCATCTGGATCACTGTTTGCCACTAGTCGGCCCACGCCCCATTTCAAATCGGAGCCAAGCTTACTGAGAATGGAAGAACGATGTACACAGTGAAGGTCGATTATAGAACTATAACCAGATAATTGTCATATGACAGATTAAGTGACAGAGGACAATCAAAACGACGGAGATCAACTATATCAATTCAAACGCTCCTGCAAAGTCATGGGGATGGGGAAGCGGACCAGTAACCAGCAATAATTCAGCAGTCATTTGAAGATATGGAACTCACCCTGATTGATGAACTCGACCCTCTGGGAATATGTGCACCCACTCGCCAAATCTAACCTTATCACAGGCCTTCTTGAAATTCGGCGCCATCACGCCATTACCTCGGACAATAGGCAAGCTCTTCCCGGCCCCAAAGTATGTCGCTAGAAATGCCCCTTGCTCAAAACAAATTTCCTACGGAATTTAGATAGTAATAGGTTTGAGATGCCACACACCTAGTTAAATCGATATACGCCTCAATACGCCTCAATACGCATACCTGGATGAGTTATATTCGGCCCTCACGTTCCCCATAAAATCACACCAACACTTGTATAATTAAAAAGGTGAGTACCGAGAGGTATAGTAATCTTGAGTACTTTTCCTGGTATATGTAGCCTAGAGAGCTACTTGAACTTAAATATTGAGATGCTATTTCACCCGGCCGGATAGCTCACGGCTAAATGCAAACGCGTGCTGAAATAAACATAGACAAGTGATCATACCAACTCTGCACTTATACCACACCAAGCCAAGTCATTACCTGTGCACACAGACCCCAGCGCATTTTATATGGATTGATGACGTTAGTGAACTTTTGTAAGGAGCTGAAAAGTAATGGCTCGTCTACTGTCGCCAAGTGGTTACTACACGTGATGAGGCCTTGGCCAGGTTTTCGATTGTCCAAATATTTATCCAGATCACCTGTACGGAAGCCGATTAGAAAAAGAAAACACTAAATCGATTGATATCACACAGATCTGCGCCAAAGCGTTGTCCAGCCTCTATCCGTCGCACAGGTTCATAGCTGTCTGACAAAACGATCTGAATCACATATTATGGTCTCTACATCGATCATTTGCCTGCAACTCTTCTAAATGAATAAATTTAAACATTCAGCAAATTTTGTTTGTCCGAGATAGATGCATGAGTGCTTTCTTGCTATAGGAAGATTAGACTGCATGCTTTCTTCTTTCTGGAAAATTAGAAATGACACTCTCATCAAGCTGGAGCCGCACTCTGATCCGCAACTCGAACAAGATCTGCACATTATTTGAAACTGTCCGTGGATAACATCAGGACGCGAATCAACTAGCCATAACATCATAATATATGCATGCCGGCTGACGATGTGGAATACAATGGGCATGCTAAGGTGGAACGATGTGAATACAACGAACATACCGTCAACAATGAAGTCGTTGAAGTACTTGGCGTATATCCGGAACAACGAGCATGTAGGAGCAAGCACCAAAATACGAGCCAGCGCCATCAAAAAAGGCTCCCTTGGACCTGTAAAAAAGCGCAATATATTTGATCATCCGCAACACAATTTGCGAGGACAATAAACGTATACATAAATATCTGCCAATATACCTGCGGTCAAGAAATGAGGCTAATAACGAGTACTAATACTGGATACGAATATCGATCGAATCCTCGTCTCAGACGACTAATAGTACTGCACACTGTAATAAGAACTATAATCTTGGCTAAGCTTCAACTACACATTCCAGGTTCATCAACTTTTGAGCACACATGCCTCTATTAAAATCAGGGTGTTGTGGTACTTCATATCCGGGTGGCGGGATATTCCTTTCCTTAAACACTGGCTCGATTCTCGGGCGCAGGACATATGCCGTGGTGACCGCACCTGTCAGCGCAACCACAGGTATGGATCGTACCACTGCCGACCTCGCTAAGGCCGCAAAAACACGCCTTGTCCACGTAGGGGGCTTAGCTGAGCTCATAATGTGCCTTAAGTTAATTAATTGCTCACCTTTAAGATGGTGCCAACTATATGTGCAACCACCGTGAGTTGCGGAACAACTTTATTATATGTATTTGAACTTCTGTGACGCTGTCTTTTGATGGAAAGTCAATCCAACGCAATCAGACAAGAGAGAAATATGAGCAGCCCCTAAAAAAAATGGAACATTATACATATGACCTGTCTCAGTTTATTTTTAGCGAGTTCATCTTACATGGTTCACTTTACCGGCACACAGCTATTTTCTTTCCAGAAATTTTGTATTATATATGCTTTAGACGTACACTACTGCACCATACAACAAGATTTTCATTATTCTACATAGTACAGTAAACACGATATACATCTACAACACACATACACTACATAGGTATTCATCTACAACTCACATACACTACATACACATTCATCTACAACAAACATACACTACATACACATTCATCTACAATACACATACACTACATACACATTCATCTACATACCTACATATAATGTTTAAATCAAAAGCAGATGTCCGTAGTTTGATGAAAAAGGCTAAGCAGGACAGACTACCGGGATCCTCACATCAAATCAAAGATAAATTAGCAAATTACACAGCAAGTGGGAATTTATCATGCATCTTATGCAGAACCCAAGTCAAATCAGCCGCAGTATGGCCTGCGCATTTAAGGAGTCGGACACACACAGAGAACATTACCGCACTAAAAAAAAAAGCGCAGAATCGGCCACAGGTACACACATCTAGTAGTGAACGGCCGACAAGCTCTAGAACCCCACACAAGCCATCAACATCGACAACTGCTATATCTGCGGAAATAGGCAACGAAGAAGGAATTAAACATATAGATAAAGATGATGTTGGTCACACACCGAAGACTTCAAATACGAACACTACACATGTGGCTGGATTTACGAAGCCAAACCCTGTTGTTAGGAAAGATATGCCCGTGGGACCCGATACAGAAATAGGTAATGCCAAGTCTTCCGTGCCCACGCCTGTAGC